CCTGCCCCATCAAAATGAAAGTATTTGTGCATAATACAAGTCACAATAATTAGAAACTTAAAAAGAATGTAGACATTGTCAACCAAATCTAAAAGACTACAGAGTAATTTTATTAAGAGGAAAAAAAAAACAGTATGGGTTATAATAAATAGGAAACAAATTACCTCTAAGAACACATTTTTCAAGATATCAATTGCCCCCAAATCAGAACTAATTTAGACTATATATCTTTGCCAGCTAAAGAAAAACCACAAGGTCTCTCCCATATGTACAGAAACACAAAAACTATAGAAAAGGAAATCTCTTTAGCCTTGAGGCCTCAAGCTATTCCACACTTCTGAGTATTTCTAGCAAGACCATGACATTAAAAAATCAGAAAGTCAGGACGGCCAGGTGGCTAAGTTGGTTAGAGCACGTGCTCTGAACAAGGTTGCCAGTTGATACCCACACGGGTCAGTGAGCTGTGCCCTCCACAACCTGAGCTGAGCTGAGCTGCCGCTGAGCTGCCGGTGGTTGGCTGGATGGCTCAGTTGATTAGAGTGCATGCTCTTAACAACAAGGTTGCTGGTTCAACTCCCGCATGAGATAGTGGGCTGCAACCGCCCCCTCTCCATCCCTACACCCCCCCCCCGAACTAGACTGAAAACAACAACTGGACTTGGAGCTGAGCTGTGCCCTCCAAAACTAGATTGAAGGACAATGACTTGACTTAGAACTGAAGGATCCTGGAAAACACACATTACCCAATAAAAACTGAAAGAAAAAAAAAAATCAGAAAGAAGTAAAAAAAGAGAAAGAGACAGAAATGAAGAGAAATAAAGGAAATATGAAGGTGTCACAAGGTACTACCATAGATGTTGCTTGTATCTGACCAAGACTATGGTCACTAGTAAAATAACATGCTCAGCAAAATACATTTCTTTAATGTACCTGGAATAAACTCTCTGATATGATGAATTAACTCCACATAAGCTTCTCTTGAATAGCTGCAATAAAGAACAAAAAGAAAAGGCTTAGGTGAACCAATCTTCTTTAAATGAATGCTATAAAAAGATAACATTATGAATTACCACATGTAATCGCTTCTTACCCACACAGGACAGGACAAGAGTAGGTTAAAGTATCCAGAAGATCCCTTATGATTCAAATCCTGTACTGTAACCTATCTAGGACCTATGAATTTTTAGTTCAAGGACATAAATTATTTTAAATAGTCTTTTGTATTTAACTAACATATCAAGACAGATTAAACATTTAAGAGGATCTCTAAAACTGCCAATGTCAAAAACAAGGCAAAACACTAGGTCCATACAGATTGCCATCTGTCTCATTCTCCTTCCAACCTTATCTCTGTAATATTTATAATTCCCAAAGTAAGTAAACACATAGAGCTAAACTTCAATTCCAAGACCTAAAAAACTTTAATGTTAAAAGCTGAAGGATTAAAATTCTCAGAATATGCCACACAGTAGGTGCTTAATAAAAAACAAGCTAAACAAATGAAATGAGTGATCCAATTCTTAGTCTATACTTATAAACAAAAGCAAATTACAATGCCCAGGGGTTTATTCATATAATAAATATTTACTGAGCAGCTACTATGTGCCGCACACTATGCTAGGTTCTTAGACGCTGTTTGGTCCTTAAGGAAATACAGAAAGGTGTGGGATACCCCATCCCCAAACAAGTCTGACCCCCTCCGCATGGCCTCCAATACGCGGCTGCTTCCACTCTGGGCTGGTAGGTGGATCTGTTTACAGATATTGTCTCTCTCATGAATCAGCTGCAGAACCTGATCAAAAAGAATACATTAAAGGTCATCAAAGTCTCACCAAAGAATCTTATGGAAAGAAATACCACCCCCACTGTTCACCACCAATGTTAGTTTTCAAGTAATTACAAGGTTAATTAAACCAAACACATCAATTAACCAAATCCTTCATTTTTGCCCAAACCATGTTCTGTCTATCCCAGACAGACATGCTTGAGGATACTGTTATCAGTTTGGCACAGTTAACTGTTGATACTCGCCTCATCAGGAAAGTCCTTGGGGTGGGGAGAGGTGAAACGGATCCTCATTTCAGGATCTATCCTGGAGACCTGATCCAGAAGGTGAGCAAAACGAAGGCCCCCCTGCTTGGTTTTATAGTTGGTGGAGAAGCCACGGCTGAGGTTGGTGGACACTGCATTGTTGAACTGGACTTCTGAAATGTCCCGAAAGCTATTAACATTCTGA